CGATTTAGATTTAACAACCATTATAACTAGATTTTTCTCCTGTGCAACTTTATTAGAAGTAGAAGAGAGATTTACTTAGTATAAATCGATCGGTTTTTGGGAACTCCAGATTCCAAAAAACAAAAATCACTAATAAATTTTCCCACTGTTTACTGTAGTTTTTTCACTAGTTCCCACACGGATCACGAATTAAATTAAAAACAAGATGTTAATTGAAGTTAATATGAATTTTTTTGATGGCTATAAGTGACGTGAACCATATATTATCTACATATACAGCTTAAAGCATTTTATCAAAATAAAATTACAACTAAAACAAAACCAACATATAGATAATTTTACCAAAATAATAGAACACTATTTCCAAGGCTAATTTTTTTTAACTCATCATTATTAATTTGGCAATGCTGTTCTATAATAAAACTATCTATATATAATACAGAATCAAATATAAATTGTTAGCAAATCATAAACAGGTCTTCCTATGGGTGTACCTGAAAGTATAAAAGTGCCATTTAATCAACTTTTACCAGCACTAACAAACACATTTAACGTTTTTTTTAATAAAATATAAATAGGTAACATCACAAGCGATCTGGGGCCTTCTACTGAGACATTAAAGGATGTGAAAGTAGTCATGTACGATATAACGTTATAGGCAATAATCTATAATAAATATCAATTAATGGGTAAATCATTACCAAATGCCACAATCATATGGTTTTGGTAGAGTGTTGCCGTATGAAATGACAGTGGTGGAGGTGATATTCCAGAAGGTTGAGGGCTTGAATATTGAAAAGGTTCAGAACTAACATCTAGCAATACAAAAACTGGATATGGTGTAGTCTGATTAAGCCCGTAACTTTGTGTTCCTCCTAAGATAACTATAGTGTGATTATTAGGTGCTTTAAAATCAAGTAAATGTATGTATGTACAGTACATAATATTAGTTATAATTATTTAGAAATTATACATATAAATATATATAAATATATATGTTAAATAGAAGTTTAATAATTTACCTAGGAGAGCGGTATGTCCAACACGCGGATCGACGTTCCCCAAAGCAGACTAAATAAATATATATTTTATTAAAAATTTCAAGGCAGTAAGAATTTATATGAAGAAATCATAAATACCTTTTGTGACCAAGCTGACGTAATAGTATCAAAAATATATATCTAAATAAATGATAACAGATTTTATATTACAATGACTAAGCGTTTTAAATGTAAATCAATATAGGAGTCATGAATATGAACATTGAGAAATTCTTAGTTTAATGATCAAAATAGATACATCTAATTGAATAATGTAAATCACTCGATACTGATCACCCACATTACGTTATCTATCTTATGTGGGCATAATCATTTTAAAATTACTCACTTCATTCATGCTTATACGAGTTGCAGCTACACCTGGGATAGATTGAGTAACACCACCTATGTAAATAATTCTTCCATCAGGCATTAAAGTTGCAGTACTATGACTTCGTTTATACGGATGATTAGGAAGTGAAGTCATATTTGTCCATTTCAGTAATAAAGTGTCAAACATGAAAAAATCGTCAAATATTGTAAATACATTTGAACCAGTATCCACTTCCACCCTTCCACCAAGTATATAAATTACACCATTTTTGTCACTAGTTGTTGCGGTGGATCTGCGCCTAGGAAGTGGTGCACCATCAGTTCCTTGTCCAGTAGTGTCCCATCTTTGTGAATTTACATTATATATCCAAAGGATAGAATTTGTTGTATTATAACCAAATGTTGTCATATCTTGCTGCACTCCGCCAACAAGATACATACGTGCGCCATTAATTCCTGATACTATTGTTCCCTTTTCGCAGCCAAATGGTACTCGTGAAGTTGCAGAAAGATCCGTGAACGGAGGTAAATCAACAGTAAATGATGACGAAAGATCTAAATAGAACACTTCGTCTGATAGATTGAATTGATGAGTTGTATTCCATGCGGGCGAGGTCTTAGGTATAGGTCGTGAACCTCCAACAAAAAAAATTTTATCATTATACAATGCTGCCATGTGACCACCACGTGGCTCTGGCTTAAAGGAATGAACATTGAGAAAATTCTGCGAAAACGATAAAATAAAAATTATGCTCAACATAGAAAATGCGTCTTTGAAATTCATAGTTAACATATTAAAGTAGCTTATAATTATTACTTAACTTAGGATGCACCTAATTAAATTTTTGTACGGTGTTACGATAAACAAAGTGTTTCGTACGTACGCACGTACAGTACGTACGTACGTAATTCAAATTTGAAGCAATGTGCCTAGTGTTCAGATATTTCCGTTTCACGAAGTAAATTTTTTCTAGTTTCATAAATGCTTAAAACATCATTGTTAATAATAAGCTTGTTTCAAATATTGTCCCTCAATTACGTAAAAGCCACGGGAAATTAACCCTTGTACAAGCGGAAGCGAAGTTTACCAGTACCCAATAGTCCATGATATTGTTAAAGACGATACTCATTCGACAGAAAGCAGATTCTTGTGAGTTTATTCAGAACTAAATTTTGTAGAAGAGCGTTTCCATCGCCGCATTTTGTACTGTGCGTCACCATTGTCATTTGTATATAATAAGTTACTGTATATTATAACTACCTTTCTAACGTATGCTTCTTAAATGCATACATGTTATAAAAGCTCTTTAAGTGTAGGTTTTTAAATATTAATTTTGGTTCTCAAGTATATAAACTTATAAATGTTTTTCTCTACAAGCACACTGTATTGCTGAATTATAAAAAAAATTATTTAGAAGAAATAAACTATAATACTTACTTTTTTTACTTATTAAAATTTGCAACACTCCCTAATAATTTCTTGAACAACAACATTAAAACTAAACTATAGTAAAATAATATAAAAAAATAACAAAGCAGATATCAAACTTGATATCTCTAAAGTGAAGCAGCTTGTTGTCAATAAAGTCTAAGTATGTAGATGTAAAATACCAAAAAGCAAATATCAAAATAATACAGTAATTTTTTGAAGTTAAATTTTTTCTTGCAGACTTTTCAAGATATTCAGTATCTTAATTAGAGTTATTCTGAAAACAAGTCTGTAGAAATAGCCAAAAGCACTCACCAAGTAAAGTATAAATAGAAGAGCTGGACTATATAACTGTAAAACTTACAAGAAGAACCTCATATACTCTCATTGGCCCATTACTTTTTTCAAGAAAATTTTGTCATAAAGTGGGCATTTTAGCTTACTCTCTTCAAAAGATTAACATGTAATTTTTAATAGTTGGTATTGTTTATTTTCTAAATTGTGACTGTCAGATTCTTTTTTTTCATTTCTGCCCTTCTTTTTTTTAGTATTAGTATTAAAATAAAAAAACTAATCAATTTTTTTTAGATAATTGTTAAAATATTTTTATTTAAAGTTTCAAAACAAGAAAATTTTAGAAATTTTAATAAAAATATCCCACTAATCACTCATGAAAATTCAATGAGATTTTTTTATTTTAATTCTACAGACTTGTAAAGTTAAAATAAAAAAAAAGTTCATTAAATTTGCTTAGATAGTTTTTAAGATATCTTCATGAAAATTTGTTAACAAATTAAAATATGAAGAGATAGAATTTTTTATAAATTAAATGAAAAAATCTCAGCAACCACCAAGAAAAATTCTATGATTTTTTTTCATTTTAATTCTACAATTTCGTAGAATAAAATAAAAAAAAATTCATCAAATTTGTATAGTTGGTTGGCGAGACATTTTCGTTCAAAAGTTTAAAAAATTAAAAATACAGATACTAATCACTTCACCGACACACATTTTGTAGACACAACATTTCATCAACTAAAATTCACCGAAATGTTTATTTCGCCGACAATTATTTCATTGACTAGTATATTTCACCGAAACTCATTACATAGACAAGATTTTTTATAAATTCCACTAACCTTAACTCTAATTCTAACCTGACCCCAATGACAATGACCATCGGTGAAATGGAAAATAAATGTCGGTGAAATAACATGTCGATGAATTGTTGTCGATGTAATGTTATGTCTACGAAATAAGTGTCGGTGAAGTGAGCTGAACCGAAAAATACATTGGTACTCATGTCGATCATTTGCTGTGCTGATAACGGAGATAAGTCACGTCGTTATATTTTCCCGTCTACGACAACATGTAACACGATATACTAAATTTATATATCGGTATGGAGATAAATGTAACAAACTTTCGCTATAGAGTTTTTGCCTCTTTTTTGTGAGATGATTTAATTATTAATTCTATTTACGTAACATTGATTAAACAAGATGCAACACAAGTTTACCTAATTATCTATATAATAAACAATAATGGGAAATTTGATAAATTTGTATTGAGTTGCATAGCGGGCTTTAATTCGAATTGGTCAACCACCAAATGTATCGTTACATATACATTGTATATGTCATCTGATTTAGAACGAATTGTATACCATGAATAAACTGAAATTGTATACATATTCAGAAACTACACTGTCACATCTTTCACACATATACAGTAAAAATAATTCGGAGAGCAGTAGGGTTGGGGGCACGGCAAATTTTTGGGCATGCCTTTGCGA